CTTTCCCTTGCTTCAAAAGCATTTTCTCAGAGCTGAATGTGCACACAATCCTCCTGAGCGTTCAGGAGGGTGCAAGGGCCTCGCCACTTGCACAGACTTCGGTGTGAATTAAAAGCATAAAGCACCAAGCAGGATCATCTCTATGGTAGGGAAATTCCCCAGGCATTAAACCATACCATGAGCAGATACATCCAATTCTACTTATTGATCCACAGCAATGAGAATTGGAGAAGGCCTGTTAGCTCAACCTGTCCAACTTTCTGCAAGGTTGTGTTCTTCAGAGCCATGTACGTCCATTGCAAGGACACAGAAATGGTGCCTTAAATAGGCAAAACAATCACACTACACTTTGCCAAAATTCCTCCAACTTGGTATTTACTCGTATCTTTATAACAAACATCATAAGCTTTTCCCCAACATATTTAACTCTGTGTATTAAGGACTTTCAAGTTTCCTTTCAGTATTGCCTTTTCTGGTTTAACCTATGACATGTGTTAGCCCTTGCGGTGAACCCAGTCTTCCATGATAAATTGCCGTCAAAAGTGTTAGGATGTGCATGACTGAGAATGAATGTTGTTTTCCTGAGAGGGTGACCTGCCTGCTGTTTTCTTTATTTCCCAGTTTCAATTCTGCCTTCATTCAGAGGCTTCTTGTGTGATCTACCAGCTTTTCACTGATTCCACTACCACAAGAATCTCCTCTGCCACCAATAAGGGCACATGGCATTTGGGGTAAAATAAGATTAGAAACCCAAGCAAACAATTCTCTGCGAGTCCTTTCTGAGAGAGAGGGAGGTTAATCCTACCTCTAAGCAGATCAGACCATCAGTTACAGCTCACTGAAAACACATAACCTATGACCTTTTCTGGTTTAAACCCTAGTGTAATATTTCCTCTTGACAGAGACACACAGCGTTTTAAATGACAAAAAGAAACGCCTCATATCCTAAAGTCATCATGCCTTTGGCTCCTACATACCTCTGGCCTTCACAATAAGATCTCTATGAAGTCCTTTCACCCCTTCCCAAGATATGATGCATCAGTCCTGACTGTAAGGCTTCTAACTTGCATGTCCTGTACCATGTACCTCAGTCACACTTGGAATTAGATGTATTAAGAGAGTAGTACATGAATACAGGTTTAGGTATTTTCGTTTTTACAAATCCAGGCACTTTTGAGGAGAATTCTGTTTTAACAAGGTAGCAGGTTCAGTGTTCCAAACTGAAAGCCAATTTATTTTCAGAGCAAAACAAACCCTGCTTGCCTTTTTTTTTTTTTTTGGGGGGGGGCGGGGAGGGTTGTTTGGTGGGTTTTTTGTGTTGTTTTTTTTTTTAATCCTACCATTTGCATATAGCGTGTTTGAGCTCTGAAAACGAAAACCATTCAAAAGAATTTCTATAAATACCTATTCTCCCTCTGGAGTCCAGTCATGAAAAATTACATAGGACTATGTAATTTAAAGGCAGTTTTTGATCACAGACTTTTTTTTTTCCTGTGGGATTCTCAGAGTACAGCATGTTGTAATTGTATTTTTTTAAAATATAATCTTTACAATTTGTTATGAACAGACCGTGTCTTAAGCTACAGTTGAATGAACAATTTTTTTTTCATGTTTTAGGCGTTTTTTTTCAAATAATTTCTTATTCAGATGACTATTAGATGAATAGTTTGTCTGCAGGAATGTATTAGAGCTAGCAAAAATAACTGCAAAATACAACATTCACTGTGAACAACCTCACCAAAGCTTTTTTCATCCTCGGTACTTCTCAACACTGAAAAGCAAATACAAAACTTGAGCATTACTCTGATAACTTCTCCCAACAACTTTTCTGCTTCACTACCCAAATTTTCAATGCCCACAGTTTGTTCAAGGTCATAAACCCTTCCTGGATTAATTAAGCTCCTCAGTGAAAAAAAAAAAAAAAAGACTTGCTAGCTTAACTGATGTGGTCAAATACCTTTAACACACACAGTAGACATGATCAGACTCCAGGGTCAGATACTAAAGGAAACAAACAACAACAAAAAAGAAACTGCTTGGAAATCCTTTGTTACTGCCTGACCCGTTCTGGATAACAAGCACATGTTTGAAGGTGCCTCTGAGTAGGGGCAGGCAGGAGACGAATTCCAATGTACTAACAGACAGCATGGAAACCCAATCTAATCTAGTTTAGCAAATTTCTGGCCTGGAAATGAATGTCAGGTAAAATTCAATCTGTTTGGATGATGGGGTCAAGAATAGAATGATGGAAGACAGCCCAAGACTTCTAATTGTGATTATCTGACTTCTAATTACCCCTGATCAAAGGCAAAATGGGAAATTGGACTCCTACCAACGTAAACATGAACCATAAAGGAATTCCAATCAGGTGATATTCATTTTACTTTAGATTCAGCTTTCTTTGAGACTAAAGGTAAAAAAGTGTAATTATATAACCTGAAATCCAACAGACTAGCTGCTCTAGCTAATAGATAATCAGGGAGAATGTTAGCCATGTTATAATGCATGCTCTTAATATTTCAAGACAATCCAATATAAAGCGTATTCATTTGTGTGGTCTGACAAGGGGAACCATCACTGTGAAGTAACAAACTTCATATACATGCTAGTGAAATAAGGTAAGAGGAATAGCATTTGATACCATGGATTACATAGGCACGTCTTGCGGGAAATTCTCTAGGCAGGGGAATCATGCTAGGTATGAAACCAAGCAGTTTTCTCTACTCAAAGCAATAGTAGTGAAAAATGCTGTTCCCTTATTCCATTACAAACACAACAGTATACATATACATAGGTATAATTTTATGATGCTTATTTTCTCTAGCAACCTATACAAAAACCTTACTTCTAACTCTAGCGGCTCTAACACATGAATGTATTTAGCAATGAAAGCTGGAAGGGAGTTACTTTCTTTTAAAGTGCTTAACTTTAAGTTCAGGTCATACAGATTGTGGCCTTGCAATGACTCTGGACAATAAAAAAGAAATACGTAAGGATTCTCCTTCTTGTTAAAACGACTTTCTTTTCTTTTAAAAGAGCTCTGTCATGAACTAAGTCAAGTCACGTAAGGACATGCTGTTGTTCTCCAAGATGTGAGAGAATCTACTTCAATGCTTTGTATCAGGAATGATTAAATAATGTTTTTGTTTGAATCAGATACTGTCAGAACAGATAGCGAGCCTAGTATTTTTCCTCAGTACCGGCTTCAAATATCTCGCACTGGATAGTGGCCAACCATATACTGAAATATCTACATTGTTCACAAACTGACTAAAAGCATTGCACGTACATACCAAACTGAGCAGCATTTTATTTCAGCATTTGAAGTTCTTATAGTATTTAACATTTCAGCACTGGATCCATATTACTTTAGCTGCAGTAATATAAATGGCAAAAATAACGTGCTCAATACTGAGGCATTGTTAAGGTGATCAAAATAATAAGCTGAGAGATCGTATTTGTCAGCAATTGTTTCACATAGTCTATCAAAAGTAAAATATTCTTTTGTGAATAACTAATTATGATGCATTCATCTTTCCAGAAATCACTCAATCCTGTCAACAAAGTCCAATTATAAAAACCTAGTTTTGCAGTGTCTGGACTGGTACAGTTCTCCACGTATTTAAATTATTAACATGTAAAATAATTTAACAGCATCTCAAAGATTCTGCCGCTAACCACAGAGTTGTCTTTATTTGACTCATTGTCCAGCGCTTGGAGACCTCACAAGAACCTTTTTAAAGCATCTATTTATTGGTCTTCCACATTGTTACAAAACAAAGCTCAACTCTGCCCCAACTTCACACACCATTATGACATGGATCATTGACTTTAGGTCTTCCTTGTAGGCTCCCTTCCTGGCCCATTCACTCATGAAAGGTTTATTGCTCACTAGTTACTGATGTGCATCTCCTGGAAGCTGCAGGGCAAAATGAGAGTCCTGTGAGGACCATCTACCTTGTCAGAAAGTCGTGGGATAAGCATTTGTTCCGAAAAGGAATTCAATACCAGCTACTGTGCAGGTCTAGCACGTAATAAACCAAATTAGATCATTAGAACTCTTTTAAGAAGGGCTTTTTCACACCACTTGGCACAATAAAAGGCCTCAAGAATGGTCAAAGATAAGGTCAGAGATACCCCGAGGTCTCAGTAACTACTTCCTCCTCTTATTTTCAAAGTTTTGTTTTACATAGACTCCTGGTTTAATTACCTACAGCCAAACAGCCTCTGCAATGTCCTAAATCGATGCAGGGTTTCCTTTGCTTTGTCAGATACGCCTCTCTTACAAACATTAGAGCTGGATGTGGCATTCCTATCAGTGAACTGCAGCAGCATAATCACAGATTATTAATGGATATAATGACAGCTAAATAACTAGGACGGACACAAGAGAACACGTTCAAAAACCCCACTCTGAGGTTTGACTTTTATCAAGATTTACTGTCAGATTAGCTACTACGCAGTAAGCAGGCATTCATTCTTAAACTCTAAGGCAGGAGATCAACCGAGAGAAAGATCACTTACCGGATCACATTTGATAACTTGTGATAGGAAATGTGTGAGGCATTGATAGGAGAGGAAAGTGTTAGTGTTCCCCAGATGCAGGCCTTGCACAGCTGCTACCACACTGCCAGCTGCGATCATGGAAGGTGGGTTTGAAATAAATTTAATATCTGTATGAAGAAAGAAGAGAGAGAAAAAAAAAAAAAGACTGAAATGATTGCTTTAGGAGAAGCCTGCCCGTACACATACACTCTTCTACCAGCATGGCTTCAGCTGCCAACTGTTGCATCCGAAAAGGTAGGGAAAATTGTGAGCAGAAAGGTGCCTCCTGCTCTAAACTGTTACAGGTCCAAACCTGTAAACACTTATCCACATGAGCAACTGTACTTCAGTGAGTAGCCCTTCCTAGCACTAAGCCTGGGAGGCCATTCATCACTTTGAGGTATTTTTATCATAAGCAGGGCCCCCATTCTTCAAATGTTAAAATACTTTGCTCATGTGAATAATGCCACTGGGGTCAATGGCACTATACATCTGAGAAAACCTGTTCGCATTCTTAAGTGTTTCGCATGATCAGATCCTAGGTGCACTCTAATAAGGAGTCCTCGGGCCCTTTAAAGCAGAAACCTTTGCACTGACATTCAAAGGAATATAGCTTTAATGAACAACAACATCAACAAAAAGAAAGAAAGAGACAGACTGCTTAACCCTGTCAGGAGGCAGATAATCCATATTTAAATTAAGGTTTCATCTTAAAAATGCTTTGTCTCAACCTAGTCTCTTGTCAGTGGCTGCCATCCATCCTGGCAACAGGGATTTAATGTAAATGTGGCATAACTAAGTGACGGGGGTCCCAAGAATTGGCGGACAATCAGTTACATTCTGATGTGACACCATGCTGACAAGAGGCTGGGCCCCCTTCCAGACTGCATTGCTGTAGGTCTCTCCACAAAGCCACTCCCATGATTCCTTAAGGGGCTATCTCTGCCATTTAGCATGTTTTTGGTTTGGTTTTTGTTTTGTTGTTTCTTTTTTTTTTTAATAAGAATAATCCACATTTTAATGCTAAGACTCTTTCTGCTGAACAGGAATGTGTTTGATCCGTGGCAGTGTACACCTTGAAGGAGAATCAGAAACAAAGGAAGTAAGTGGCACAAGTAAACGTCTAATTTTGTGAAGAAGAAAGGGAAATGCCACATTATACACAAGAACCTGAGATACATTCCTTCAGCTTTTATCAGAATACAACTTCCTCTGGGTTGAAAAAATATAAACCATCTGTCAAACCCTTGAATGAAATCAAAGGAATGGACAGCTTAGAGGGCTCAGTGGAACAGTTTAAGTATTAAATCATGCATCTCCTTTATTATGATAAAATAACTTTTGTGTAAATGTTTTACCAGTGAAACCAAAGACTTCGGGACTCTATGAAAGTCCTCTCTCTGAATCTATTCATATACCTCTGACACTCCATTGTAGCCCTGACCAATACCCACCTTCAAAGGGGCATTTCGCCCAGCGTTCTATGAACCTTCAAAATTAAACTGACACGATGAATTGTGGCCAAACTTTTGTGATGCACTGCCAGCAAAAAGGCAAGCTTGCTCTGAAGTCATCTCATTTAGGTTACCGTGCTTAAAATAAATTAAGTTTATCCCCTTTTCCTAATCTGCCCATTTCCAGGCGATACAAACGCACCCACCTTCTAGCAAGCTTCTGTCATTCCCAAAACTCAAAAGTAGTCCAGACTGCTTATTGACACGATACACATTCCAAAGCCAGTCCCCTAACCAAAATACTGATACACAGTTGCAGGTAGACTTCAGAAATGAGGGATTTCAGTAGGCAAGCATGAATTCCACCAAGACTGGGTTGCTCAGAGGGGTACGGTGGCAGCGCGTTTGCGGCACTATTTATCGAGCTCCACAAACAGAACACGACCAAAATGTGGCAGTTTAATGAGTCTGTCCTGACAGGATCACGTTTGGGATTAATATTTGCGTTCTTCTTTTAAATGGAGCAGTAAACAAGAACATGAATTCATAGTCACACCCTCATTCTTTCCAAGGTGGAAAAGTGATAATGAAGTTTAAATGACCAGTTTGTGTCTGTCCCTATAACCACTCCAGACAAGCAGCATGGACTGCCTTTTTGTTGCAACTCAACAAGGAATTATTTGTGGCAGAGGCCACTAATTTCAGCATATTAATCAGGGGGCCCCTCTCGCCTGTAATTGGATGCCCCCAAGTGAAGAGTGTGGCATCATTGTCAGCCTCCATCGCCTCATCTTGCGCTATTGAGCGCTCAGGAACAAGGGGGCTTCGGTGAGATGAATTAGACCTGACACAGCCACAATGGGGTAGGGGGCCCCATCAATTGAAGCACACATCCCCAGTAGCCTATCTGAGACTTCATCCAAAAAGAATAAACAACTTCAGCGTTGTTAAAAAGAGAGAGAGAGAGAGAGAGAGAGAGGAGGGGGAGGAGAGAGAAGAATGCCAGCCACCCTGAAGGGAGGACAAAGCAGGCATATAGGCGCTGCAGCGCTTTAAAAAAAATTCCTAACAAGGCGAGTCACCCCTTTTCCTTTTTAAATGGAGCAGCAATTCCATCCGTCTGGAGAGCTGGGGGCTATGAATGAAAATCTTTTCATTGAGGCAAATCAAAACTGCGAACATAAATCACTTGCTGCAAGATGCAACAGGTTCCAACTGGTCACATACCTTGAGACTCCCAATTTTATAAAGGCCAGAGAATAGGAGAATTGTAAAACGCTTGTTTCAAAGGGGGATCTTTCTTTCTCCATCCGAGAGAAGGAAAGCAACAACAATAATAGCAATAATAATAATATAAAAGGAGCCTGGTATGTTTTGATAACCAGAGGAACATAATGAAACGCTGAAGCTCCAATATTTGTTGCTATTCATTGTTATGCTTGTATAGAGCTGCAGTTCTCCCTCAACACTGGTCTTAACTTGGGCCAAAAGAGGCCTGCTTCCTTTTGAGCTCTCCCTGCCTTGCTCGGCCATGCCAAAGCCCCATTCATTAAGCTCAATTATGTGTTAACTTCAAACAACCCCTAGTAATTTTTTTTTTCTTTTTCTCCTGAACCTACCACAGCACAAAGACATCCTTTGGTGAAAATGGATTTTTCAAATCAAACAAATCCACTTCTGCTAGCCAGACAACTGAACTTAGAAGGAATTCCCCTCAACTTCACCTTGCATGTAACCTTCTCTTTCTGGAGCAAACACATACACACGCATCTACAAACACTGCCACAGCCTGCACCTTGTTAAGCCAACTGGCGGAGATTTTCTTTTCGAAGCAAGCATTATTTTGCTGCCTCTTCTTAAGAGACCCTCCTTTACAGGAGAGGACACAGGCTGTACTTCAAGCAAAGGATATACTGCACTTGCCCCTGAGGCCACTTAAGCGAGTGTCAGTGTTTCCAGTGAACTTTGGATTGGGCCCCACAGCATCCAGGCAGCACAACGCATTTGCAGTCCATCTAGGTTCATTTTGGCAAGGGGAAATACAACACAACCCAGCAACAGCAAAGCAAAGTCCAGATGCTACTTAAGCCACATGTGATCTTCACTAGCCAACAAAGAAGTCATGAGGAAAGGAAGAGGTAGAGAAAATCCTGACATCCAAAAATAACAATAAAAACACAGAGCCTAGTGGCAGCCTTCCTGAGCGCTCTTTCCCCAGGCAATATTCCCAACTTCAGAAGGGAGCTGAAGAGGGCCCCAATTCTGGTGAGCTCAGCACAGTTTTTTTTAAAAGCTAAGTAAAACTCCCAGAACATGGTTCTCATTTACTGATCCATTCTCCAGCTGTGGTGTGTAGCAGTGTTAAATAAAGACTCTGGATGTGCTTCCTAAAAGAAACATAACAACACCGACAGTAGATCAAAGTACTGGACTCTTAGCAAGTCTCCAACCTTTGAACTACTCTTGTTTTCATCCCTGTCATTGCCAACACAACAACCTAGGTTAAATATCCCCATATCCAAAGGGGAGGCCGGGTAGCTGTTCTTTTTAGCAAACAGCCAAGGAAGCTTCAAGCTTAGCAAATCACACATTCGGAGTGGCAGCAGCCTTATCTGGTAGAATCTGGCATGGAGAGTTACATCTGATTTTCCCAAAATGTTGCTGCAGGTAGTTTGAAGGCTGTTTGAAGGTTGTAGCGCTCCGAACACTGAGCATTATTGCAGGCAATCTAACTTGTGAACTGCCCGTTATGCTGATGTTAGGCCCGAGATGAAGAGCAATGCCAGTGTTTATAAATTTCTCTTTTATGGCTCGGTCGTTCTATCTTTAGGCCTTGCAGTAGGGACGATTCTGTGAAATAAAATTTTTCTTCTGAGTGCCTGCAATCTTTCTTCAATCTTTTTATACCAAATCCATCTCTGGAAAATAAACTACACATTAATTTGTGCCATTGACCACACACATCCCGAGGTTTTCAAGTGTGGATACCTCTTCGCAAGTCCAAATGCACGCTTGATCTCTTTTTTTAGCACAACTGCTACTGAATATTAACATTTACTAAAGCACTCTCTCTCCTTTATATTAAGTTTTTATCAGTGTCAACAGAGTGTCTGGCATTCCTCTTTACGTGCTACTGCAAAAGAACATTTGCTTTGGCTGCTTTTTCTTCCTTATTCTTTTGCCATTCCTGGATTGGTCTCGCCATACTAAAAGAAAACGCGCTGAACACGTTTTGTTTAAACAGAGTATCATCCCTCTAGAACTTATTTTGTCCCTGCTCCTCCAACTCTGTCCTGTGGGAACAGTGAGATCTGGAGAACAGAAAGACTCTTCTAAAATGTTTTTTCCTTCCCACTTGTTAGGGTTCAGTGGGTAAAGCCGGTACATGTACAAATGCATACAGAGTCCACATGCAAACATGGAACTTCAAAGAACCAGCGCTCCTGCACGCACGGTGCCCTTGAAACCAAAGATCAGGCCTCTGCAAACCTGGCCTAGCGAACAGTCGGCGTCTTTGGAGGCCGGCCCTGCACATGGCTTCAGCACAGCACGTGGTCAGAAGGGTGCAGATGGCAGCGGCTCGGTCCTGTGCCAGGAAAGCCTCTGTGCCGCGTGGCCCTCCTCCAATCCACCAGCCACCGAGGAGGGGGGAAGAGGCAACTTGAAGAGGGAAGTTTTAAAACCCCCACGCAGAGCTATTCACAAGCAAAATCTCCCTCCGCCTTTAAAAACCGTCTTAAGAATGAATCCACACGGGGAGGGATTCCCCATACGGGCAGTAAGCCTTTTGCAGCCCCCACATAAAACACAGCGTACAGAGGTGAAGAAATGGTGCCACGCTGAGCTGCGACTCCACGGCTAAGCTACAAAGAGGGGGGTACTTCTCCCTCCCTGACACCACCACATGCTCAACTCGGAAGCAAAGTATCTTCTGAAAAAAACTTACCTCTGCAAAGTAATCCACCTTCTGCAAACAACAAGGGGCAATAATCGGGGCTTAAACTACCTCCCCGCGGCTCTGTGAGCTCGCTTTAGACCACAGCTGCGGGAAGCTTTACAAGCCAGGGGGTAGGTGCGTGTAGGGGAGCAACACGCTTTGCTTTAACGTGCAGGGCTCATACCTGTAGCGCACAGAGCCACAAAAGTCTGAGCATGTTTACGGATGATCTGCTTGGTGTCCTCTGCCAGAGGCATTTTAGTAAGGAAATGTTCAATGAAATCGTGGGGGGTCATTGCAGCCAGATTCCATTTCAGCTTATTCACCAGAAGCAGCTCCATTTGCTGCAAAGACAAGAGGGAGGGAAGGGGGAAGAAGAGAAGAGGAAGGAGAAGAGGGAAAATGTGGTTAGCTCCGCTCACACACGGTCGGACGAGCAGTATCCGCATCTGGGCCAGTCCGCTCTCAGCCGAGCCCGCTGCCCCGGCTGGGGAGGGCCGTCCTCCCGCGGCG